GCTAAATACAGTTATGTTCAGTTCAAAGGTTTAGGATTAGTGAGATTTTTTTTTAAATGTTTTTGAAAGTCTCTTATATTCACCAAGGCTGCATATATTTGATCAAAATACAATAAAAACTGTAATTTTGTAAAATATAATTAATTTTTAAAGCAACTGTTTTCTATTTTATTATATTTTGAAATGCAATTTATTCCAGTGATGGCAAAGCTGAATGTTCAGTGTCACGTGATCCTTTAGAAATCATTCTAATATGCTGATTTGGTGCACAAGAAACAATTAATATGATTATTTTCAATGTTGAAAACAGTGCTGGAAACTCATTTTTTCAGGATTCTTTGATAAATATAAAGTTCAAAACAATTGCATTTATTTGAAATAGAGTTTTTTTGTAATATTTTAATGCCTGTCACTGTTACTTTTAATTAGTTTAATGCATCCTTGCTGAATAAAAGTATTCATGTGTTTTTAAGAAATATATATTTTAAATGGTATTGCTTGTAACGAAAACCGAAAAGAGGAAAAGACTTTCCTCTCCTTCCAAATACAGAGTTCTGGCATGAAACTCTAGATGGCGCAGTCTATAGGTCTAACTCAATCTGACCTAATGACATCATTATCACATGGCACAGCTGATTGGTTCTCTCCTGTATCGGTAGCCAATGAGCTCGCTGCTCAACATTCAAATATATGATTAGTGCTTGCAGTAGCAGTTGCAGCTTGCTTCAGAAACCCTCCACCTTCCCCAGCTCCACCTGTATAGATCTGCTACAAGGTGATCATATATGCTATATGGGGGTTATGTCATGTATGTTATATTTGCAGCAGCAATATTTCTTACATGCTCACAGCAGCATGTTGTGGATGTATTGGCAGTAGCAAGTCTCGGTACTTGTTCTGCCGCAGCAGCAGCGTAGCAGATCTATTCCGCCAAGACCAAATACATTAACATTGTCATGTACATTACCATGCCAATCCCTCCGAGAATTGTCATGACAGAACTGTATTTCTCTCATTTGCTCTCCATCTACACCTTTCTGCCTCTCTCAGGGCCCAGAGTTTCATGAATTCTTGCTTACCAAGCTGATCAATGCTGAATACGCTTGTTACAAAGCTGAAAAATTTGCCAGATTAGAGGTGAGTGTCATTGAGTTGTCAGAAATCAGTGCTCATATGTAACACCAATGTATGGTTTCAAATGTGATGTATTGATAAAATGTATTTTATGATAAATGTGACTTACAAATGCATACATGTAACGTAAATGTCCTTAAAATAAATTTACAAGCCTCGTCTAACATTCTTTTACTATTTATATTCAAATGTATTTGCTATACAAGTACACTATCCCACTTTCATCATCAGGAGCGTACCCGGTCTGCCCTGCTGGAGACGCTGTACGAGGAGCTGCACATCAATAGTCAGGCTATGATGGGGCTGGGAGGAGAGGAGGACAAACTGGAGAATGGAGGAGGAGGGGGAGGGGGCTTCTTTGAGTCTTTCAAGGTAATCCACAAGGACACAGGGCTCTGGGGGTCTCTGTGAGGGCACGTACATCCAGAATAGAGGAGGATGGGGATGTTCGTGAAGCATTACTGTAGCTTGTGCATGAATGGTGGACAGGGTGCATTTGGTTTGTGGTCATGAATCTTTTCATGACATGAGATGAGTCATTCATTCAGTGTAGTGTTATTTTACTTACTTTATTTTATTATTGTGTTATTTTATATCATTATATACTATTATATTTATATAACATTATATGTAATATTATATTTTAGTTTTTATAGTTTTAAATAAGATGTTATTTTATTTTTCTGTTTTCATTTTATTTAAAGTTCTAGTAATTTTGTTGTACTTATCATTTTTATTAGTTTCTGTTTTTAATATGTCTGTTTAGTATTAGTTATTAGATTGTATTTAATTTAGGTTCAGTTAGTTTAGTACTTCAGCTTAAACGAAACAAAAAAAAATTCAGCTGGAATAAAACAAGTTTACATTTTAGTTTTAGTTTCAGTTAATGATGATTATAACTCTGGTTCAGACTGGTATTTTTTTATCTTGCTGCTATTCTTTACGAACGGTAGCATTTTTTCTCTCTTGGAATTTAGATGGCGGTGTCTTTATGACTCCAGCTTCCAAGTGATGTAACCGATGCTACCTAAATTAAATTATTCATTACCGTAATTAACACTAATTAGTCCTGTTAGCACATTGTCGAGCATAGATGCACTCATGAGATTTATCTTGTGCTCTACAGTGTTTTGCTTCCTAAAATGCTTTGCAAATTAATCAGTAGTACATGATTCATCATACACAACATATTGTACACAAATATTTCTCTGTAATATGCAGCATCATGCCTGATGAGTATATAGAGGTCATTTTTCAAGTAGACTGAATTTTCAATAGCTATAATTCATTACAGACAGATTGTTTGTATGTGCTTGGGAGCCGGGTTTATAATTGAAAGTGTTCATTGGTGTTCACACATTGATTGTGGTCATCCAGTCATGAAAAATCAATCAGTCTTCTCATAAATCATTTTCATCATCTGTCTTTTAACCTATTATATTTGCTTCCGCAACCACGTATTCGAATAGTTTTCATCAGCAGCTGTCTATAGCCAAACTTGTTCGCATAGATGCAGCTCATCTGTGGTTGTGGCATTCTGGGACTTTCCCTTGAAATCGGGCAGCACTTTAGTGGGTGATATTTGATCAATATCCATTAACACTCTCAGGCGGTTCTGCTCTCTAATGGTTGCTAGCTTCAGTAGTGGACTTCCTGCTAACTTCATATCATCAGTCCTCCCTCTGGCCATATGCTTTTTTCTTTTACAAATAAAACTGCACTCTTGGCTCAGGTATTTTCCTGGGTCATTTTAGCAACTTGATTCATTGGCTTCAGACCCACTCCATTGGCCCACCCTGACCTGCCGCTGCTCACCGTGTTTCCTCCTGATATCTCCTTGTGCTATAGCGGGTGATCCGCAGCAGGAGCCAGTCTCTGGACACCATGGGCCTCAATATCAGGAAGTACACAGTCTCCAATAGTCACAGCGGCAGTTTCACCCACAACAACAACAACAACCACCACTCACCAGAGTCCCCCAAACCCCCTGGGATAGTAAGTAACCCCCTGCCCTACTGGCTTTCCAATGGGCCAAACTATGCTAGTCCCCTCACTTCCCTTCACTATGAGGTAAAAAACCGGTCCTGGTTACATATACATCACTAATTCCTGACTACACTAAAAGTTAAGCACATGCACAGATGCCCTGAGTTGGCAAACTAAAAACCAGCAACACAATGAAGATGAAATAATTAATGATTAATCAACCAACTTCGATTTGATAAATAATTGCCTTCATGCACCAGTCCCTTTTTTTATCCTCGTTTTTGATTCTCATTCCCATCATGCTTTCTGTCTGTCATCTCTGCAGCCACTGATCTTATTCACTGGACCTTTTACAGTTTATCTCAGGAGCATTTCTTGAAAGGGTCACTTGCACTGGTCTTGCTCATGTTTGCTGCTCCAGCAACAGTTAGCATTTCCTGAGTTAAAAGGTTCAATGACATGAAGTATATATACACATAATGTGTATATATATATATATATATATATGTATATATATATATGTGTATATACAGTGGGTACGGAAAGTATTCAGGAAGTTCAAACGGGACTGGGTTCTATGGTCAGATGAAACTAAAAAATGAGCTTTTTAGCTCATAAAAAATCTAAACCTGACTGCCTCTGTTAGAGACCTTATAATGGGCCATGGCTGAATCTTCCAACAGGACAAAGATCCAAAACAAACATCAAAATCAAAACAAAAATTGGGTCACTGAGCACAAAATGAAACTTCTGCCATGGCCATCCCAGTTCCCTGACCTGAACCCTATAGAA